TAATTAACTATTACATTATTATGAAAACATATTATTATAAATCATTACATAATATGCATGTCTATTTTACAAACACATCACAAACTATCGATAAAGGCATTATGAACCTAATAACAAACGGCATAGAATACAAAATCATTTGTCATAGTAGTATATTCATAAAATGTCAGAATTTGTAAATAATAGTACATATTTCACTAAAAGATAAAGAAAACATGAATAAAATAATAAATATGGAAATGAAAATATTTAATGAACAGGCGGCCGAATATCTAATTAAGGTTTCATAATAAAGTACTAGAAAAAAAATTTAGAATTTCCTAAATATCTATATTACAGTCTCATTTTCAATCACACATTCAGAATTAAATTTAGGACCTATATGTTATTCAAAAGGCGTTTAACCCTGACGGTCGCTACCGGGTAAAAATGACCACATTAATCATTAAAATAAGTTACACATACATAACATCACTCCTTGTTATCCCTGAAGGGATAGGCAATGCACATTACGGCACCTAATGCCACTGAACAATGTAACACCCACTTATCAATATTTATGTTATGAGTGTGGGTAGACCTTTTGCCATATACCGGGGCACCGGGCACAATTTTAGACTCCGTGTAACTACTGAGATTTTTTTTTAAAAGCCAGTAATTCTTTTCCCGGTCCAGGAATTGAACCCGAGACCCGTTGTCCGGCAGCCGACGAGGCAGTCAAAATAAGTTACAAAACCAAAACTCGACCTGAAAAGTTAGTATTTAAATATACAGGCTTGATCGTCGACTTCAGGGACACCATGTATAAGGTAGCTAGAGGTGTATAAATGTCGCGGAGAACCTAATGGATAACTGGCGTTCCGGCTCGACGTGCAGGAGAAGGAACGGGGTGGTTTTTAGTCGGTAAGAGTTTGACACTCCCTCCCGCCTCACCCAGGCGGGAGCAGACATTCGATGATTTTCCCCGCTTAAAAAAAAAAGAGGTGTATAAATGCAATGATGGGCATCATTTGTTGTGGCGCACCATGAAACTGGCTTTTGTTCAACAGTGGATCAGTGATAAGTTACATCGTCGGCTATTTTATAGCTGACGATGTAACTTACAAGATATTAAAAAAATGGTTTATTTCTCATTATTATCGGAGGTTTACTAAAGGGCTGTCTCGTTGGCCGAGTAAGGGTTCTCGGGTTCGATTCCCGGGTCGGGCAAAGTATTACTGACTCATAAACGATATTCGCCGTTAAACGATATGTTTGGCGAGGATCTTTAATTATAAGAACAAAATGTTATTCCCAAAATAGTACTTTTGTTAAATAAATAAAATAAATAAATAAATAACATAAATAAAATAAATAACATAAATAGTGAAAAGTGGGTGTTACATTGTACAGTGGCATTAAGTGCCGTAATGTGCACCTCTGCCTACCTCTTCGGGGATAAAAGGCGTGATGTTGTGTGTTTACTAAAAGAACCAATGTCAAAACATTTTAATTTTATCACTAACATGGTATTCTTACCCAGTAGCAACGAATGTTGGGTTTACACGCCTTTTCTATCTCATAGCCAATTCTGCTATAGAGGGCTATTTCCTATCCTAACAGGCTATGGGGACTCGTTCTTTGTCCAATAGGCAATAGGGTAGTTTCCTAAATTTTATTTTAATGTCCGTCTGGTACAATAATTTAAAACTTTAAACACGTATTTTTTCTTTTCTCACAAAATTAAATACTTTATGCAGCACGTTATGACGTAACGACCTCCCACTCCAAAACTTAGCGCCATTTTATCTAAGTAATGCAACTTAATACGAGAAAATTAAAAAAAATACGTGTCAAATATTTTTTCATTATCTAATTGACGGACTAATTAGATTTTTAAGTAATCAAGTATTTATTGCATCCATAATGTACATATACAGGTGGTTAGAAAATATAATTATGTAACAATTATGGACCCTGCCGGGCACAGCAACATTTAAAATTGGTAGGAGAGAGGAAGGGCATTTTGTTAGATTAATATTAATATAATCAAAAATTATTTCGTTACCCTGGAAACTACCCAATTGGCTAGTGTCACAGTATTGAGCGCACATTATTTGACAGCTGCGGTGATTGGACAAACACGCCACTATCTAGATTAGCGCCATCTGCTAAGCTAAAAGCAAAAACAATAGCCCCCATTGTCAGCCATTTTGAAATTAATCAAGTACTCTGTTAAGGACTGTCTAATGTCTATACCTACATTTACTTGGACCAAAATTATACAATACGTAGTTTATATAAAAATAAAGATGGCATATTTGATTTTATCCTACACGTCGTTTTTTATTCAAATACAAACCTAGTGTTATATGAATGGATACTAAAATTAAATGATACATATACACACTCTGTCTTTTCATTTAAAAGTAAAAGAGACAGATTGATGTCTCCTACGTAAATATTATTCTGTTCTTTATCACAAATTTTATTTTCAATTTTCATGCAGAACTGTTACATTGTTTCTTTAAAATTCCAAATAATAATTAAGATGTCGGAACAAGTTTTTGAACCAAATGCCGTAAGGGAAATATGAGAGACCTTCCTTTATCTTTCGTAACAATTTCTACAAAAAAAAAAAACAAAATGGCGCAAGTAAAACCTACATTTACGTCAGTATGAATGAAATAAAGAAACAAATAGGTTTTTTCTGACTGAAGGTACTCAAAAGGTTGAGAATTAGACTAGCCAAATACTATATACAGAAAACAAAAAAAATGTGTATTATATAAGTTTTATGAGACATACTAAATTAATTATTATGTTTTTCGACTTACTCACGTAATTATTTGACGAGGAACTCGACTAGTTTCAAGCCATGCTAGAGGCTCATATTCATGAGCAGCATTTCATGACCCGCGACGCGGCGACAGTCGCGCAGCTTTTTTCAGTAATTACGTGAGTAAGCCGTAAAACATAATACCGTAAAACGGGGGAATAGAATTTGATGGGTGAATAGATACAGGAATGGGGTGAATAAAATAATGTTAGAATATTTTCCCAACTCTTATTCACCCCTCTTCTGTATATATTTACCCCTCGAATAATATTCACCCCGTTTTACCATTAATTAAAAAAGTATGTGTTTATGAAATTTATATTTTTGAAATAACTTTCGTGGTTTTATTGTTTGGAAGACTTCATTTTGTGCAGTTTAATATAGAGAGAGAAATTGTAAAATATCTTCAATTTAAAATAAAGTGAAGAATACTACAACTCTGAAGTTCATTCAAGCAATTATAACTTCTATTCTAAAGCCAAGTAAGGTGTTATTTGCAATAGCATTGAAGAGTAACTACTATTGCAGTTAATGTAAATCTTATTTTAAGCGCAATAGAGGTTAAAATTAATTGATTTATTAGTTGTTTGGCCTGGTTATCAATATAATTACTTTGTCTAATAATTCTAGTATTTTCTATTTAAGTTATTGGTGTGTAAACCTACTCTCAATAATGCAAACAGTTACATGAAAAAATACTTTAGTGCCCCTGAGATAGGGTTCAAATAACATTGCTTCGTTGTTAGTGGACAGTGAATGAAATATTCCATATATGTTTTTTATTTTTAAATTCTTCTCTTTCTAGGATATAGTGTTGTCTCACTTCTGTAATATTTTAGTATAATACATTAAAATGTATGGAATGCATTGTACACTTCTAGATAACAAACATATTTAACTATACATATATATATATAACACAATTATATCAATTTATAAAGTTAGGAATGATTTGTGCAAAACTATTTTAGACGAAAATCACATATTTAAGTAATTAATTCAATTTAAATATTTATCTATATATTTTCAATCAAACTTGGCCAATCAGGTACTACATACGCTCCCATTGGTCACTTTAAGTAGTTGACAGTTAAATCAACCAATCACAGCGTATAAATTTGATTATTTTTTACAATAGATAATAAATAATAATAGACAAATAATTACAATTGCATAAATCATTAAATTGTAGATAAAATTAAGATAAGTAGATGACTTGAAATATTGTAGTAATTATAGAAATATATCATTGACATTAAAATAATCAGTTTATGTTATTTAACATTATATTAATTATATAACATCGTTTTATATTACAGTAAGAAATAGCCACGGGCCTTATAGCATTATAATTATATTTATAACAGGGTATAACGTTCAGTTGTCGACTTTTTTTATCGTATATAAAGTTTTCGAAAACAAATAGGTATACAATAATAAGATATATAAAGAAGAATACTTTACGTACGAAACGCATAAATTGATTTTAGACAATTCTTTTGCATATAAAAAATAGATGAAAGATTACATAGAAATTTAATTATTTAGGAACTACTCATATTTGAACTTTTTCATTGTGAAAAAAATAAAAATATAATTTTGGCACCAATAGTCAACAACACGGATATCGATAGATTTTAATACTAGAAACAGATCATTGACACAAGCTCCTTTGATGTTTTTTTTTTATGAAATAGGTCGGCACACGAGCGCGCCGATCACCTGATGGTATGCAATCACCGCCGCCCGTGGACACTCGTAACACTAGAGGCTAACAACGTCCTCTAGCGTACTTGTCACCAAGTACGGGTTTTTGGTGGCTTGGGTAATAAGGTTTGGAATATGGGGACCTAGGAATGGAGGATTCGAAGATTGATGACAGAGAATGGGGTTTGGGGGATGGGGGAAGGGGATTGAGGATTGAAGCATGGAGGATGGAGGATGGGGGATGGGGGATTGAGGGATGAGGTAAGGGGGAGGTCTTTGTCCAGCAGTGGAAGTCTTTTAGAGGTTGATGATGATGTGATGAAGGGGTATCGATGATTTCGGGATATCAGGAATTCAGGATTTTGTTTCTAAAGCAATAAAGATTCCATACTGAACGCGACTGGTCGTAGATCGACAACTATACGTGTACCCCAGAGTCAAGACTAGTCTAGCAAATAAAAACATAATACTAACATTAAAAGTCGTCGAGGCAGAAGTCGAAGTGGTCCTCCATAACTTTGTACTGATCGCATGAGAATCTCATACATTTTGGACATGTGAACACCTGGAAATAGAAACAGAATGAATTAGTATTTGTAAAATCATCTACTTCGATAGACAATTCATGCGTAAATTTAGAAAAAATTTTGTTCAACGATAATCTTGGTGTAACGATGACAGACAGACTTGTCAATTTTAAGTGTTTATATTATTATGATTCTTGCTATTTAGACTTGAAATATAGTAGCTATCTACACTTAAAAACGCATCGATAAAAAGTAATTACCAATAAAAAAACTTTGACTTTAAAAAAATATTGCCAAGACTATCGTTAAACAACAACCTTTTTGGGTACAATATTAAGTATTAACTAAAGTACACCTTGAACACGACGTGCACGAAATAGTTAAACTTTAAGGGCCGAAACACATAACCGCGTTGCGTCGCCGCAACGCTAAAATCGGCAGTTTGCGTTGCGGCGTCGTGAAAAAGAGCGTTTTATTGTCGTTCGGTAGAGTAACCAGTTCGTCGTGATTTTTTATTGTGGATAGACGTGTCTCTGCCATGGACCATCGTGAAAAACTTATTGCTTATTTGTTATTAAGAAGACATTACTCTGCTATGCTGGAACGAGCGCCGCAACGCCGTTATGTGTTTTGGCCCTAAAACATGATTGATTAGTATTTCAAAATTGATTTAAAGCCATCAAACATCAACACAAGAAATACAACATTGATATGATATGTTATAAAATTATTATTAATAACATTATATCACGCTAGTTATTTCATAAACGGATAGGCAGAGGTGTACAAGCAAGACACCAACTATTGACAGTCATGTTATAAAATTCTCTTGTGTTAACTTATTGTCAAAAACGCACACGACACCTAAAAACAGGTCTCACCTATATACTGAAAATAAAATCTATACTATTATATATATATAAATGAAAATATTACATAGTTAAAGATTCTGTATATTTCTTTACCTATTACAAAAACTGTTTGATAAAAAAAATATGTAAATGCAATAATTCGTAGGTATTACATAGTTTAGAAACAAAATTATGGTCCATAATTGGGTACTTGCCGTAATCAAAAATAAATTCTTTCGACTGACAACACAATAAAATATTAAAAAATAATCATACTTTCATTAATTGATTTTATGACTTTCTTAATTTTAGTATTTTTCCAGAAAAAATTTATGTACGCTGTTTGACGCTAAAAAACGACGTAGAAAACTGTCGTTTTTGTCAGTTCGAAAAAAGTATTGAATTTGACTAGTTGGCAAGTACACAATTAAATATTTCTATTTATTTTGTTAAGTACGCTTACAAGTAAAGATTTATTCTTTAAATTAAAAAAAACCTTCACTAAAAACTATTAACTTAAAAAAATACTAACTTCATATTTTAAAAAGAATTACGTAGTTTGTGACATTAAGCGTTCTGATTGGTTGCTCCAATGAACCAACCAATGAGAGGGCTAAACGCGGTAACGTTTCAATCGCATTATGACGTAAAACAAAATCGCACTAAGCATACTGTTATAGAATGAAAGAAATTCATTAATTTCTACTCCACTTACAATAAAAACTGATTTATAATAATGGAATCAATTCGTGTTACAGAACAATAAATCTTTAAGATCCTATCAATAAATTATTATTATTAACAGTTATATATGTACATGTTTCCATAAATTAAATTAGGTATACAATTTTTACTTGGGCTGCAAGTTATATTTATACTTTCGAATGAATAATGCATAAATTATTAAAAACAAAACGTATATATAAGATAATGTTTTTATAGTAACTCTCGTGAGACATACTAAATTAACTAAAAATCCCGTGTTATTGAATATACTGTATCGAGTAGGCTGCGCGACGCCCCTCTGTGGTTCAAAACTAGTCGAGCTTTTCTCAGTATATTCACGTGAGTAACCCGCGATTTTTAGTTAATTTAATATAAAAGATAAATTAAATAATTGAAAAAATGCACATAAATGCCTCAGAAAATCGGATGAAAGACATATATCTGTAATGACGGCATAATTAATTCAAAGACTAGAAATATTGACTACTTTTTCAAATTATGCTAATACAATATGAAAGAAAAAAGTCAAAGATACGCCACCACTAATTCACATCTTACTCACATCTTATTCACTTACATCGACATATAGAAATGCTTACAGCTTTAAGTCAAAGTTTGCAAGCTGGCAAGAAGAGAATCAAAAAATATTTTTATTTCACTCTATTATAATCTATAAGTGTGGGAGAACCATGCTTCTGCACGAATGGGCCGGCTTGACCGGAGTAATACCACGGCCGAGCAGAAAACCGACGTGAAACAACGCTTGCGATATGTGTCGTCGTGTGAGTGGGGTTACCGGTGGCCCAATTACCCCCCTCCCCAATCTCCCCAATCCTCGAATCCTTAACAATCCTCAAATTCCCAATTCCAAAAAGGCCGGTAACGCACTTGCAACGCATTGGTGTTTCATGTGTCCATGGGCGGCGCCGATTGCTTACCATCATGATCCGTCTGCTCGTTTACTAGCTCTCATTCCTGCACTTTCCCAAACATCGGTAACGCATTCCTTTGGCGTGACATGGCCATGAGCGAAGTTGATTTACCATTAGGTGCTCCGAATCCTCGTTTACCCTTCCACTTATTTAATAAAAATATCTTGTATTTTAAGTCGACAAAGGAATTAAATAATTCGAAACTTTTATTAATTTAATGTGATAGTAGCTAAATTAAAACTCCCGAATTCCTTCTGTGTGTGAGTAGCCTTTGCTCAGTAGTGGGCACTAATAAGCTGATGATGAAAGTACTATGCATAACTAGCGACCCGCCCCGGCTTCGCACGGGAGCAATATTCATGTATTATACACATAAACCTTCCTTAAGAATCACTCTATCTATTATAGAGGTAATAAAATGAAAACTGCGTTTAAAAAACCGACTTCAAAAAACCAAAAACTAATAACAAACAAAAAGTCAAAACTAAAAAGCAAAAAAATAACTATTATTAGTACTGATCGGTTACGCACCCACTGATAGGTAAGAAGTCGGTGCCAACCTCCTCCTTTTTTTGAAGTCGGTAAAAGTAAAATGCATCAAAATCCGTAGCGTAGTTTTAAAGATCTAAGCATACATAGGGACAGACAAACGGCGGATAACGACTTTGTTTTATTCTATGCATAATAATACCATAAGATGTGAGTGGTCGGGGTGGCCCAGAGGTTTAAGATGCCCACTTCTCATGCATGAGGGTGCGGGTCCGAAACCTACCAACGGCAAGTACCAATGTGACTTTTTCCGAGTTATATGTACTTTCTAAGATTATCTAGACACCACTGACAAACGGTGAAGGAAAAACGTGAGAAAACCTGGACTTATAATTTCTAATTATAAGTTTGAAATCGCCAACCCGCATTGAGCAAGCGTGGTGATTAATGCTCAAACCTTCTTCGTGTGAGAAGAGGCTTTGCTCAGCAGTGGGCATTTATAGGCAGTTGATGATGATGATGAAGATGTGAGTTAGTGGCAGTGTCTCCTAAGCTACAATCATGGTAGACAATGTTCGACGTGTTGTTGTAATAAGATTAAAGTTTTGTAAGGCTGGTCACACACTGGACAGTCGAACCGTAGTGGTGGCGGCGTACTCTCCTTCATAGCTCCCTCCTCCGGTGTGTCTGATAATTTCTTCTTTTTGCGCACCTTTTTGTAGGATTACACGTTTAGAAGTGGAAGTGAGACAATTCATATATTGTTTACAACTTTTTCTATGTATGTTGGACAACACTCCAGTAGGTATGATTACGCCGCCTGATCAAATGATCCTCGCAATAAGGTAGATGCTTAATTTCTATTTTAATGTCCGTCTGGTAACTTATTTTAAAACATTAGACACGTATTTTTTATTTTCTTACAGAAACTAATGCTTTCGACGATATATTGATTTGAAATGTCGCGTGACGTCACTTCTATGTACATATTATACGTAGGAATGGCATTTTAGCCCCACTCCTAAACTATGATTTGTTTTATCTAAGTATTGTTTTATTATATGACAAAATAAAAAAATACGTGTCTAAAATTTTTTCATTACCGAACTTACGGACTAATTAGATTTTTAACACGTTAAACGCCATGGGGGTCACCGGTGACCGGCGTTAGCGGAGGATTTACCTTCAACAGTTTTTTATTGGCAGTCAAAGTTTTAATTTTCATACCCTGTCATCATCCCTATTCATATATTGTTTACAATTTTTTTTATGTATGTCTGTTAGACAACTCCATCAGGTATGATTACGCCGCCTGATCAAATGATCCTCGCTATTCCGAATTACAGAACGTAAAATCTTATTCCTATATTTTCATGAATTAAAATAAATTTCGTGTTTTGATTTTATGTCGCCACCAAAAAACTGACTAAGAATTAAGATAAAAATACCCCCAAACAAAATAATTTAATTATCTGCAGCTGTGGAAAATCACGGCTTTGTTTACGAATCCAATAAATTTACCTTACTATTTATTCCTCTGTACTTAACAAAACCCTAATGCCAAGACCGATTATCGAGATACATAAAGTCAAAGTCAAAGCATTTATTTCAATTAAACCATAGTTTGGTACTTTTGAAACGTCAACAAATACAAAATAAATAATAGTCTGTCAGTCAGTCCGTCAGTGAAACTAGGTGAAGCTAGGTGCTCATTCCAAAAAGTAGATTCGAATGAAGAAGAACGAGCAAGAAACTCCATATATACTGATAGCTAGGTATACTGACCATGTTCCCGGTGGCGGCGGGCTGCGCAGGCGCCGGCCTGCTGGGAGCGCGCGGCGTGGCGGGGGCCCGGCTCGTACTGCTGCGGACACTACTCGTCGCCGAACGATGGACTGACGGGTTGATCTTGCGGACTTCCTCCAACTGGATATACAAAAAAATACATGTGGTAAAGTAACATAACTTAATATCACACCTTTTATCCCCGAAGGGGTAGGCAGAGGTGCACGTTACGGCACTTAATGCTAGTGTACAATGTAACACGCACTTTTCACTACTTATGTTATGAGTCCCATGTAATAAGGGGTGAGACTATTGCCATATGCCCAATTCCAGACTCCGTGCTACTACTGAGAATTATTTAAAACCCAGTAATTCTTAGCGCGATTCGGAAATTAAACTTGAGACTCTTGCCCGGCACTTGTTTGAAAATAACTAATTTTGGTCTTGAAATGTTCATAGTCCAGGGAAGGTTTAAAAGGTTAGAAATAAATTTTTAGGCGGTACGAATTTTGCCAAGTCAGCTGGTATATTATTATTTATGTGTCAACGAACCTGTTGCGTGAGTTCCTGATTCCGTTTCTGTAATGTCCGGATATCTGTCTGTAGATTCTCTTTCTCACTCGCCATCTTCTGACGCGATTCTCTCTCCGCTTCGAAGTCACTCCTGTACGAAAAGTAACATTAAATATGCATAATTACATGCTTTTTAAAGGTGTATGTGGAAATACTCAAATATCACTCAATATTTAGTCGCGCTTAAGCATAGTTCTGTCTCTACAAATTCTTTGTAAAATGACAGAGACGGCACGATATTAAGTACTGTAATGAAGACCCAGAGCCATCTAATTATAATATATCCAAAACAACTACAAACAACTATAATGAAGATTGAACTGAAGCGTAATGAGCAGCCGTGTGAGTGACGTCACTGGTAGTCCAATTCCTTTTCGTTTTCATACGAGCAGCTGTAGCCCAATGCCACTTAGCGCTTGTCTACATGGAGAATAGAAAACCAAATTATGTGGGATTGATGTAATCCCCATACATTTTAATTTCTACTCTCTCTGTAGACAAGCGCTAAAGTGGCGTTTGGCTAAAGGCACAGGCGTTACAGGTGTCGACAATTGCTTACCATTCGATGATTTGTTTGCTCCTTTGCTGTATTCTATAAATATATATGCGTCAATTCATTTATGTGTATCGAATTTAAAAGTTTTAATATAGTTTATGTGTTAAGCTTTAATTAGGAAAACTTACTTATACAAATCCATCTGAGCTTTAAGTAGTTCAGTATCGTCCTGTTGTCCCCTGAGCCTGGCGAGCTCGCCCTGTAGCTGCGCGAGCTCGTGGCCGCGAGCTACGAGCGCGGCGGTGAGAGCTTCCACGTTAGAGGCGCGCTCTAGTCGGGGCTTCGGGGCTACTGTGTTCTTCAGGACTTCGCTGTAGTCCTTGAATATACCTTCGAATATTGAGAGCGTGCCTCTAACTTGACCTCTGGAAGGAAAAAATAAAATTATAGAATTACTAGCTTTTACCCGCTTCGCTCGCGTCACAAAAAGATAAAAAGTAGCCTATGTGACATATACCAATACATACAGCGCCATCTATACCAATAATTTCGTTTTCCCTCGAGAATATCACATTATTCCGGGATAAAAAGTACCCTATTATTTAATCCAGACTTCTAACTTCACGTCTGCAAAAATTCAAAGCAGTCGGTCTAGTAGTTACGGCGCGAAAGTGGAACAAACAAATAAACAAACTCACTTTCCGATTTATAATATTATTAGTAAGGATTTTAATAATTCAATTTTTTTAATCAACATGTTAAGTAACAGTACATTATACCCATTAAAGTTACAAATATAAAAAGTGGGAGTTAATAATTAATTAGGTAAGTAACTACACATCATCACACCTATATTTCCCCAAGAAGTAGGCAGAGATCTGCATATCAAATATAACACCCACTATTCAGCAATCATAAATGCCAAACTCTTAAAATTCCCCTAAATCGAAAATATTTTGGCCGACTTGAGGATTGAACTCAAGACCTGACTCCGTAGCCTTAACTACTGGACTGAGTAGACAGTCTACCAATATTTACCGAAAAATACAAAATAACAATTAATTAATACAATTAAATAATAATTATGTTATTCAGACACCATTGACAAACGGTGAAGGAAAACATCGTGAGGAAACCTGGACTTATAATTTCTAATTATCGGTTTGTAATCACTAAACCGCATTGAGCAAGCGTAGTGATAAATGCTCAAACCTTCTCCGTGTGAGAAGAGGCTTTGCTCAGCAGTGGGCATTTATAGGCTGATGATGATGATGATGAATAATTATGTAATTAATAATATACTCTACTTACATGTTATTAAGCGCAGTGCTGTGTTGTTTCTCCATCTGCTGCTTAATATCAGTGAGGCCGGCTTTGAACTGTTCTGCTGTCACTCTCTCCAGCTTGTAGTCGTGGAGGCTTGATATCAAACCGAGAGTTTGAACTAGACTATCTGACATTCTGGAAACAGAAATATATTGAAAGTAGAGTATTCACCAATAGTCCCCAACCTAGCTCTTTCCGGCCGGGGTTAGAAAAATCGACTAAGGGTTTATATTTAACTTATAACTTTCGTGAGACATGCTATATTAATTATTATGTTTATTTATTTATTTATTTATTTACTTACATTTACCATTACAGGATGACCCAATGCGATAAATGCGAACTATTTAATCCTGACTTATTGCTTATAACTAATTACAGCAATTAGTTTACGGCTTACTCACGTAACTGACAAAGAACTCGACTAATTTTAAGCCATAAAGAGTAACCTATGGAGTTTCTTGCTCGTTCTTCTCCATACAGGTATTAAAGAGGTTAAACTGTCAAACACCAAGCGGTCACCGGTGACCGCAACCTATTGTTCTTTAATTGGGTCTATAAATACGGTACTCGACGAGTTAATTAAAAAAAAGTATCAGTACTCAACTACTCACCCATGCGTCAGTGCATTCAGTAACTCTGCTAGATGTTTCAACGTCTTGTCGTAAAGTTTCACGTTCGACATCAGACTCGTGAACTCGGATGAAGAGTTCTCCGACTCTGAACTAATCGAGAATCGAACCGGTTGGAAGACCTGAAAACAATAGATAACCATTTTATTAACACGCCTTTTCCTCGTCAAAGAGGAATCAGACTACCAAGGAAGGGGCCCATTAGGGCTGATGTCGATACGGAGCCACGGAGAACGTAAAAGGTTACCGGGGCACCGGCTCAAAGTAGTAGGAACGGGGTAGCTTTTAGTCAGTAAGAGTCTGACACTCCCTCTCGCCTCACCCAGGCGGGAGAAGACATTAGATGATTTTCCCCCTTATATAGTTTCACTTTAATTAACATGGATTTACGATATTATTGCAAATCTTTCAAAAGTTGAGTTGTACAGTATTCCATATCCGACCCAGGAATCTAATCACAGGTACAGACTTGGCTGTAACAACTTTGAGCACGAGGGTAAACTAAGTAACAAATCTCCTAAACGGCTAAACTGCAACTGACGAAACTCTTAATTTTACATATATCGAGTATAAAGATATGACTTACAGTAGTAGCGGCCTCTTTGAGTCGGATATGTAGATCCTGTATCTGGTCTTTATATATCCTGATGGCTTCGGAGACACCTGACTTGAGCTTCGTGAACTCCAACTGGAAGGAAAAGGATTTAAGATGTTTTAACCATCATGAAACTTACTACATTCGCCAAATTTTTGTGACATAATTATGAGCCCCGTTGAGGATTGAAACTAGTCGAGCTCTCTCGAAAAGTATCAAAATATTAATTTAGGAATCAAATTAAATATTGAACAGAAATAGATGAGATAGTTAGGACATGAGTTAGAGTTTTTTTTTTTTTGATAATGTATTTTAGAGCAGAAGTAAAGAACTAATATTAAAAATGCGAAAGTTCGTGAATGAATTCGTCACCAATCAATCAACAATGTGTGGTAAGCGTTGTTTCACGCCGGTTTCCTGTTAGGCCGTGATATCACACCAGTCAAGACGGTCCAGCAGTATCGAAGCATAACTTTTCAACGTCTCATGTGAAATTTGATAACAATAATTACCTTAACTGTTTCCAGTTCCAATATCTTGAGCTGTGCAGTCTTAAGTTCAGCGTGTAGCGTGGTGACCTTGCCTTCTAACTGGTGCAGGAGCTGGTCGCGTTTGGCTACCTCCTCTGATGATATACTTGACTGGAATAGATATACGTGTTTTATATTAGGGGCCGTCCATAAATTACGTCACACGTTAAGGGGTAGGGAGGGGGTCGACGAAGTGTGACATTGTGTGACAAGGGGGAGGGAGGGATCCTAAACTTTGTGATAACAGTTTTCAAAAACTATTATAAAACACGAAATATAATTGTATTAATGTTTTTTATTTTGTTTGATTTGGTATTAATATTTTTTTAAAGTAATTTAAATAGAAATAAACCTGATTTCGGAACCGCTGTTTTCATTCATTAATTTTTATACATACGTATTTCTGCAAAAAGTGACGTCACAGAGGGGGGGGGGGCTCATAAATGTGACTAGCTGTGACAAGGCCGGGAGGAGGGCAAAAAATCATGAAATTCGTGTGACGTAATTTATGGGGGACCCCTTAATATACTTGAAAAAATAAACCTTATGGTACACCAGTAGGGATAATAAAAAAAATAAATACATAATAATAACAGAATGCAAATAAAATGTAAATAATAAACTGTAAAATCATAGAACCAACATTTCGATATCCTAGTAACACTATGAATACAAAATTATGTATGTTTGTCTGTTACTACTTCACGTCAAAATGCGAGAAGGGATCGGGATGAAATTTGGAACAGAGGCAGATTATGGTTTGGAATTACATATAGGCTATGGGAACGCAGGTAAAACGGCTGGCAGAAGCTAGTCAATTATATAATCGACATTTAGGTATAGAATACACGACACACAGGGAAGCGTCTTTGACAAGACACTTTATCTAACACCAATCAAACGCCAGTCGCATACAATGATCGTGGGACGATCTCCGGCCACCGTAAGCGCGGGCCTGCGGAAGGCGAGCATGGGTGACTCCCCGTCCGACCAGAAACAGACCCGAGCGTACGGCACCGAGCGTTCAGACCACCACGGATGGAGCCCAATAGGGCTGATGCCGATACGAAGCCGCGAAGAAATTAACGGGTTGCCGGGGCTCCGACTCGAAGGGCAGGAGTAGGAACGGGGTGGTTTTTAGTCAGTAAGAGTCTGACACTCCCTCTTGCCTCACCCGGGCGGGAGAAGACATTAGATGATTTTCCCACCTTAATTAACATCTAACAGCACTTTTTTATATACCAATAAGTAACTTTGGTGGTAAGTGATCACCTCCAGCCATATACACCCGCAACACCAGTGGGGTAACAAGTATGTTGCTGGCCTTCTTTCAACTAAATACTTACATAACTGGCAGACTGCAACTGTGCTTCTAGGTCTTGTATCGTATACCTGAGGTTATTGACCTCTGCCGCGTGCTCTGTGTCCCTGGTTGATAGGAGTAGCTGGAATATTACAGACACATGTTATTATAAGACTGCTAAAATCAAAATCTTATATCTTATACTATTATATAAAGCGGAAGTTTTTTTTTTGTTTAAACGCGCTAATCTCCGTAACTACAAGTCTGGTTTGAATAATTCTTTTTGTGTTGGATAGCGCATTTATCTAGGATAGCTATAGGCTATAAAACATCACGCTACGACCAATAGGAGCTGAGCAGAGCGTGTGAAACCGCGTGGGAGTAGCTAGTTACTTTATATAACTCGTTAGTCTCATTGCAGAACTTCAATGCGGGTTACTCACGTGAATATACTGAGAAAAGCTCTACTAGTTTAGAACCACAGAGGGGTTCTTCCTCATGAGCAACGGGCGCGGTCGCGGCGATGTCGTGCAGCCTACTGAGTGCCAAGCACGAATAACTATCGCATTCGTAACGTAATAGTATCGAGCGCGTTCGACGCTCTGAGTGGCCGGCTCAAGTGAACCAACCAATCAGAACGCGCTGGATACTGTTACGATACGAATGCGATAGTTATTCGTGCTTGGCACTCTGATGGTTACGTGACATTACGTGAGTAACCTGCGATTTTCAGTTAATTTAGTATGTCTCACGATAGTTATTATAAAACACAGCTGTTAATTTTGTTTATTATATTATTGCTTCTTTATACGAACTGTTAAGAAGTGGAATTCTTTGCTACAGTCTGTGTTTCCTGACGGGTATAACCTATTTACTAAGACGGTTGTCTTCAAGGCCCGAGTGAATAGGTTGCTTATGGGAAGACGTACTCCAGTGTAGGCCGCAATATCGCTTACCACCAGGTTAGATAGAGGTCAAATTTCGACCCACAACATATAAATAAAAAGTACAATTTCTAAAAACATAGACTGGTAAGGAATTTTAAGAACACATCAACCATTAAAAACAATTGGGTAGTTTCCAGGGTCTCAAAATTAAAAATCTAATTAGTCCGTCAGTTAGATAACGAAAAAACATTAGACACGTATTTTTTACGTACTTAGATAAAATGGCGCTAGTTTTAGGAGTGGGAGGTTGTTACGTCATAACGTGCTACAAAATGTGGCACGCTGTGACGTCACACCATATTTCAAATTAATATATCGTCGAAAGTATTTAATTTTATGAGAAAAGAAAAAATACGTGTCTAAAGTTTTAAATTAATCTACCACACGGACATTAAAATAAAATTTAGGAAACTACCCTATTAGAAGTTTGGTAGCACTCAACACAAATCCTGATTATGGTAATGATGTAAATTTTGACTAGTTCGGATAGAAGGACTTTAGACCACTTGGACAACGAGATATTTATTTATAGATTTTCCTCAATAAAGTCATAAAGACGTCCACCTTACCTCGGCATTCTTAAGTTTTTCTCTAAGGTCATCTCTCTCTTTGGACGTGGCATCCACTATGTGTTCTAAAGACTCTTTCTGCCACGTCAGCTTCTCGTTGTCTACAATCACCTGTAATTATACAACATAATATTACTTCTTAATTCTCCATGTTTGGAATATAATGAAAAATTAGAGAAAATATATAATGGTGGAATTTCTACTCTACCTAAATACAGTACCTACTCTACTTAATTGTATATCTATACTTATAATAAATCTGTAGAGAGGTCAATTCTGTACATAAAATATATTTAAAAAATAACTATCAAGGGGTGGTTAGAGATCGCTACTGATGCCAAAAATGCAATCAGTAAAATTTTTGTCTGTCTGTCTGTCTGTCTGTATGTTCGTTATGGAAACTAAAACTACTCGACGGATTTTAACGAAATTTGGCACAATTATTCTTCATACTCCTGGGCAGGTTATAGTATACTTTTCATTACGCTACGATCAATAGGAGCAGAGCAGTAAAGGGAAATATTGGAAAAACGGGAGAAGTTACTCCATTTTTTAAGCTTCCGTCAAGTGTGCAGGCTTATAGGTTAAACCTACATAGAAATCATGTATGACGGAAATATTCTCCTTAAAATTATATAAAAAATATTCCTCAACAGCATATGTCTATCTTTTATAGTTGACTCACAATAACACGTGAAACTCCCGATAGCTGAGCAATTCGGTGATTTCTGATTGTATTTGTCTACTCTAACGTTTACAATACTCATTCATAGACTTTACGCTGTAACTGAAAGGCCAATGGTTGAAATTAGCTTGACTCGATATTATAAATGAAAATATGTGAGTTTATGTGTATGTTTGTTACTCAGTCATATTAAAACGAATGAAGGGACCGGAATGAAATTCGGAACAGAGGTAGATTATGGTCTGAAGTGATACATAGGCATTTTACCCCTGGGATCGCGGGCGATGCCGCTGGCAGAAGCTAGTTTTTAAATAAACGAGACCGCGTTCGGCACACTGATTGGTTGTTTCACTGGAGCCGGCCAATCAGAGCGCTGAACGCGGTCTCGTTAAACGTAAAACAAACTCGTAGTAAGCCCTACGATCTGACATCAAAAAAGGGGTAAAATTCTAATAGCTAAAATCGACCCTAACAAACAAACTGGTAGTCTAATCAAGAGATTAAGTAATCAATAAAGAAAAAAATGGTTGCCTGTAAAGTCGGTATAGGGGCGAAAGTTTTACGTGACAACGACTTTGAGTGGTAAAATAATTTGCCTATCTCTCTCACTCTCTCTCTCTCGCTCTGTCTCTCTCGCTCTGTCTCTCTCGCTCTTAGGCGGGCTAACTATGCTCGAGTGGAAGGGACGCGTGCCTTTCACTCGCTCTCATTGTGAGCGCATAACGTGAGCGGAGCGTAACGCAGTTTCTTGAAGTGTCACCCGGCAAACCAATTTATAAGACGTTGTCACGTCAAAAACGAATAAATATCAATAAAAAGAAAAATATAATAATAATAATAAAACGTTCTTACGTAGGCCAGTCTAGACAAGCTAGTCATTGAATACCAATAGAAATAGGTAATAAAGATAAATTTTATTATAATTACATTTTAATCGAAACACAAATAACAATTTACCTGTCTCCTTTGCTTTTCAACTAGCTCCAACTGCGAGGTCAATTTGTTGATGGTATCATCGTCGGGTGACGTCACAAACTCGAGAGCTGATGATGGACCTGAAGGTGCAGGGTCTACCACACTGCTCGCCACCACTGACTCACCAGTCTCGCTACTGACTAAAGACTTCGCTTCAGTGTCAGCTAATCTTGCTATTTCTGATTTCAGCTTTTTGTTTTCTTGACGGAGCTGTGGATTATATTATAAAACGAATAGTACATGACTTAAAATTATGGTCTTTAAGGGCTAAGCAGAGATGCACATGAAATTATTTTTGCATATACGTGAAAGAAGATCGATGATTAAAGAGATTTGTTCATGCCATGTTACACACAGTGTCTTGTTTTTCCTGTCGAAGGACTGCAGGAAGAGATTCCTACGGGAATATGTACCTATGTACCTTTAATTTATTGATATATGTGTTCTCATGTGTACTGTCTGTGTGTTGTGCATAAATTAATAAAATAAAGAAGATTATTTTCGTAAGTAATTCATAATTAAGAAGTATATTTATGAAAGGGACCATATAACGTTACCTACATGAAGCGGTAGGCAAAACCCACTTCTAAATGTATCTCCTGATAAGAGTGGCTACTCAGTACCTATGCGAAAACACATTTTATGACTCACAAAACGTTATGATTCATGTAGGTAACATAAATAACCTAATGAGAGAAAGTACAATCCCGTTTCAAACTTATATCTATTACAAATACGGCTATTTTTGAAAAGCCAACATATATATAATAATTAAGACGTAGCTACATTTTTTTCAAATCATAAGCCCCTTTCTTAGCTTGTAACCAGTCGAGCAACATCCTCGAACTATTACGTGAGCAAATCGTAGCACCTAATTAATCTTAATACAAACGAATCCACAAAAAAAAGTGAAACTATTACCAGTACTATCTTCACTATAAGGGCACTCGGGGCCCGTGCTCAGGGTCTCCATCCTCAGGGGGCATCGAATTTTATGACAGATTTATTTATTTATTTGAAAATGTACATATACAACACCACAGCTTACGCCATTAAGTTATACTGTTAATCTTATTTAAGTTCTTAAAAACAAACTAATTACGTAATCAAATACAAGAAATAAAAATTAACACAATAAAGAAACAAAATTAACAAAAAACTGAAATACATCTGAATAACAAATTTGGTAATTAGAGTAATTATTGTAACTTGACACAAACATGATCGAATGACCGACAATTTCTACGACGGACACACACCTGCTACATGTTACGCGGCAGCAGCTACGTGTAGCGGGTTCGCACGGAGCAAATCTTTGTGTGATCGCCAAATTATTGTTTCGGGTCTAGGTGTCATAATATGTATTTTTTTTAGCGACAAGCCCTCCACAACCTCCCAAAACCGCTGCAACTCCTGTAAGCCAGGATCTACAGTAGATACAACCATGAAAACACCGGAACATTGAAGTCCGGCGCGTCCCAGGGACATGAGTAACTGTCTTGGTTCCCGCAACGAAGTGAATCAGAAGATATTATAAGAGGAGAAGAAGAAAAAACTATAGTTTTCACTTCCCTCGGTGAATTACTGCAGGAGACAGAATGAATTAAGCCTAAAGGCACAAAGAAGAGACTGTACAACTGGGTGAAGCCTAGTCGCCAAGCACCACGGAAATTTGACTAAAAAACTAAGTGGGTCCTATGTGTGAGCTGTTATACTTGCTTCCAATAGTAGATATGGCAAAAGCGCCTAAACGCACGGTGTCATATGTATGTGAACTTGTATGTTTATAAATGCACTACGATACAGGGGAAAATCCTAGTGAGGCAACGTGAAAAAAATAAACATTCAAAAGGCCCCCGATTATTGTGAGCCAAGGGCCCCAGCGTAGTATAAGACGGCCCTGACTATTAGGTACACCAAAAAGAAACAAAGCCACATACCTTCTCCACCAATCCTTTGGTCTCTTCAAACTTCTCCTTGTGCAGAACATGTGTCTTCATCATGTCCTCCTGGCAGGATGCTATTAGAAGGAACTGTTCCTTCATAGACTCATTATTCTGTTTCAAAGTCTCCTTCAATATCACATTTTCGTCTAGAATTTCCCCGAATCGCTTCTGAAGCTCTTCTGTACTTCTATCATCCGTTATGATGGTGCTGGCTACCATCATGCTAGCTGGAGATGGCTGGAGGAAGAAGAGAAGGATTTGTTAGCACTTATCAATCAAATTAGAAGTATCAGTCAAATTTCAATGAGCTTTTTAAGATTGAAGTTGGCGAAAATGACATACCGCTCTCATTTACCCAAAGGTTCGCCAATCCCAACGAATTTCATGCACAAAAGTAACCCACAATAACAACCAACAACACCTAACAGGAGACAGATTTTTAGACTAAATGTTCTACCACAAAACAAAAAGCCTAGTCTCCAAAACCGATCTCAAACAAAGTCTAGAATAAAATGAATGCTATCAACTATGTGACTGCGGCCTGTGAATTATTTCTTTCATAAAATTATCTGAGGTAAACCCCCTTCAGTGACACGCGCCGCAAACTAAAGCTATGCACACACAGACCCGCGAAACACAAACATAGCACTCATTAGAAATGTATTTACTTTGCAAACTTTAACAAAAAATCGATTTGCATAATAAAAAGTTTGTGATTCATGGGTACTGGTTCGTTGTGTGTAATATGGTGAAAGGTTATTGTATTTTCCCCAATCCATTGATTTAATGTAGATCCGACATACATATTATGTAATTTAAGATCAGGGCGCACGGCAGTGCCCCCGCCAAGTTGAGTGCGAGGCAAACACTGCCGTACCATCCTTTACTTCGCATTTTCAGGCCTTTTGAAAACCTCTGGATAAGACCAGAACGCAAAAATTTTCATCATCCAGTAAGCTATAATCACATATGTATTTTACAAGATTTTATTTTAAGACACAGCCTTCTACTTCAAAGAGTGTTTCAGTTGTTCCTCTTGCTCTTGTTTTCATCAACAATAAAATTACAAAAAAAATACCCCGTTTACCTGCATATATATGTATTCCTGTTGGCAAACCTAAATTGAAACAAAGAGGTTCTTAATTTTCTTGTTATCCACGTTTCAGAGTGCAACAAAAGCTACAGAAGTAAGAAAAAGACCCAGAAAAACGACCGTAATTTCAATAAGAAATGTGTAATCGATTACTGATTAATTTTAGCTACCGGTTACCGTTAATATATTCACAGCCTTGTCCAAGGAATTATTTAACGATTAAGCTAATATGTGTAAACACATCACAGACTGCCTTGTAAACCGAATTTATTTTCTGATTGATTATGCCGATAGCAAGTAACAAGACATCTGATAACTTTTGATAACTTCAAAAAATCCCGGAGCGTATTTCAGTTAAGTGACGTAGTAGTAAAATGTAATAGTAAGTAATACTATCGTGATGGGGTTGTCATATATAAAAACGAATCCCTTTTCCCCTTGGTCGCGGCATGACGCGTGAATGGCTGGATCGATTTCACAAATTCTTTTTTTTTTTGTTATTATTAGGAGAAGGTTTTTAAGACAGAAAAAATCCTGAAAACCCTAGTACGTAAACCCTACGTAGTCGCGGGCAGACGCTCGTTAAAGATAAAAACCCCGTAATAAAAAAACAGATTAAAAAAAAATAATACTATCGCCCTAGTCTGGCCTTGAATTGTGAATACGGAAGAATTATTTACTTTGGACTGTTTGATCGCGCTTCTGATATGATAAAAAACACATTATGCATCGCTATCTGTTAATTTCTTAAGGTTAATTATAGGATGTCTTGAAGTGTACAAAGTCATGGCTGAAAATAGAGGGGTAGTGCTAAAACTTATTTAATAGGTATGTATACACAATTCACAAATGACTATGGGCAGTAAAGATTATTAGGTACTGTTTATAATTGTATACGTTTTTTATGAGATAAGCCGGTAAATGAGCAGAAGGATCACCTGATGGTAAGTAATCGGCGCCGTTCAGGGACACCTGGAACACCAGAGGCGTCACAAGTGTAATACCGGCTATTTAGGACTTGGGAATTTGAGGATTGTGGGGAACACACGACGAAACACAACGCAAGCGTTGTTTCATGTCGGTTTTCTATGACACCGTGGTATCACTCCAGTCAAACCGGCCCATTCGTGCCGAAGCATGGCTCTTACTTACATTAAATAAAAAATACTTTGTACAGCCTGTACTAAAGGTGAGTAACATACCCTATAACTTCACATCAGGCACTGAATGAAACGACATAAAACAGTAACACAATTGAAACTGCAATTTAAAATCATTAATCAGGGACTGTACAGTGTAAATTCCCTGTTGAATGAATCTTCATGAGTTCATACCTAACAATGTCAAAGAGAGTTTGTTTTGCATTACAGAGGCATGATTCAAACGACTAACAGCTCAATTTTTACAGGAAAATATTCATATGAATGGAGAATGTTATTATTTTATTAATGTTCATACGCTTGGGGAATCACTGAAGGAAGTGGCCTTGTTTAGACTACACGTTTAGTGCTATACTAGTGGGTGGATACTGGAAAAATAGTCGTACGGAAGGAGAGCACCGCTTAGTGAAAAACATGTAAGGTAGCAAAAAGCTATCTACTTTTAGTTTTAAAATGTTTATCTGTTGATCACAAATCATCATTACCGAGATTACAAATTTTATTAGGTACAGTTCCTTTCGAGAAAGCGGGTGAAAATCCAAAAGTTATATAGTAAAAAATAATATGGTAGACAAAACACTACCGGAGATTATTGAGAATCATGATTGCATCAGTCGCTTATCAAATGTGGAGTATTGATTGAACGAGAGATAACAGATACAATTGGTAAGCATGTGTGTTTAGCTACACTCTGTAGATTGTGACAATCAATAGAATCTTTATAATAACAATCATAACAACCATACGTATATTTTTTATGGGATAAACCGGTAAACGAGGATACGAATTACGTGAATGTAAACAATCAGCGTCGCCCATGGACATCCGAACCACCAGAGGCGTTACAAGTGCGGTAGCCTTTTGGGAATTGGGGAATTTTAGGGTTGTCGGGTATTCGGGGATTGGGCAGATTGGGGAGGAGGGGTAACTGGGCATCCGGTAACCTCATTCACACGATGTGAAACAACGCTTGCGTTGTTGCGTTGTTTCACGTCTGTGTGTCGTGTCGTTTGCTGTGAGGCCCTACGGCCTCGACAGTCGGGCTGGTTCATTTGTTAAATACTATTTCACTGTCACATAACCCGTACTCTTCGGCAGGATGTCGTAAAACCTAACCAAAGGGTCTCAGGGGTTACATTCGAGTGAGATGGCGTCTGCTTGTTATAATATTATATCAAACCTCTCCTTCCAAAATATGAAACTGGCGGCGAATTGACTAGCACTAGAACGGAGCTGAAGAAGACTTGAAAATTTAAAGAGGTGTCTCATACGGGGTCAGTATCAACGTCTACGTATTTACTACGCACATTATTGTTTTCTTCAATTATTTTTATCGGCCATGCTTTATGTTAGTCCTTATCGACATCACCTATTGACCTGGACTATCTATAAAATATATTTTAAAAAAAACCCTTAAGTTGTCATGACTATGACTAGTATTCGTCCTAGGACAAACTCTATCATAATTAAAAAAAAAACTTGAAATAATGGTGTGTGGATACAAATACTTTAGAAGTATGTATACTGTAGCTGTAGCCAAATGCCATTTAGCGCTTGTCTACATGTAGAATAGAAAACCAAATTATATGGGATTGACGTAAATTTTGACAGTCAGTGTCATCCCCATACATTTAGTTTTCTACTCTCTCTCTGTAGACAAGCGCTAAAGTGGCGTTTGGCTAAAAGCACTGTATAGAGTTTGAAAATGAAAAGAAAAATCTAGGTAAAGCACGCCTTTTGCCAAATAATTACAAGTAGAACCATTGATAAACACAAGTAGTTATAAAGTTTACTTATTGATCTCAAATCTACCTACCATATCGATATCGTATCACCCATTACATAAATCTTGATATGGGTCAAAAAAGCCAGTTCAGCGACAATGTTCAAGTCGGTAAGTTTTTTTTTTTTTTTTATAATTCATGGGGCGACGTTTGACCACTATCTCAAGTACTTTCAAATCTCTTGCATACCGAGAGTACGAAATCTCGCTTTATTATGAACCATTCGAAATAATGACTGACTCATTGACCATTTTTTGAAGTCGGTTAAAAACCAAGGAAAGTTGCCCCACACTAGGATTTTTTCCTGTGTCGTGGGTGCGTTTACAAACATACAATATCACAACCACATGACACAAAGATCCGAAATAACAATTTGTTGATCATACAAAGAGTTGCTTCGTGCGAGAACCGAACTAGCTACACGTTGCGCGGCAGCCGATTGCCCAGCCGCCGCGCCAACCGTGCAGTTATTGGTCTTGAATGTGACTTCTCAGCATGAATTCTTGGACCTAAGAGCCAGGTAGGTTTTAATACAGACATTGTGACAGATTTATACAGACAATGGGAGTCTATAATAGTGGCCCTTTGTAAAATGAATGAATTATTTTTAACAATTTGCAAAGCGTAAAAATTATGACAAATTCCTCTTTTGTAGAGAAGTGGACCCTCCCGTGGCTGGCTTTCACGGGGTATTAATATCTCATTTATATAATTTGTTACTCAGACATAACATAACATCACGCCTTTTATCACCGGGAGTAGGCAGGGATGCACATTACGGCACTTAATGCCACTGTACAATGTAACACGCACTTTTCACTATTTATGTTATGGGTCCCATGTTATAGGGGGTGAGCCTACTGCCTTATACCCGGCATAAAATCCAGACTCCGTGCTACAACTGAGAATTTTAGCACTTGTGACCACTCGGCCAACGAAGCATTCAGTTTGTTAGGTACTTTATCACCTCAAAATAGCTGAAGGGATCGGAATGAAATTCGGAACAGGGGTAGATTATGACCTAAAATATTACTGAGGCTTCTGTTTATTTCTCGAGAATACGAGCGAAGCCACTGGCAGAAGCTAATCCTTACTAATATTTCGTTTGTTTGTTTGTTTGTTCCACTTTAACGCCGTAACTACTAAACCGATTGTTTTGAAATTTTGCAGACGTAAAGTTACAAGTCCGGATTAAATAATATGGTATTTTTTTTCCCTGAAAAATTTGATATTCCCGAGGGAAAACAAAAGTATTGGTATAGATGGCGCTGTGTGTATTGGTATATGTCACATTGGCTTTTTATCCTTTTGTGACGCGAGTGAAGCTGCGGGTAAAAGCTAGTAATGAAATATTTGCACAGGTCACGTTGTATCTGTTTGCACATATATATTTCTATTTTCATTTCAACTAAGTACTTTATAGTATGGTATGCTATATTAATATGATACACAAACAAATACAAAGTCTCATATGACAATATTAGCAGTATCATCATTCTGTCAGCATTTCTTCAGCCAATATCATATTGCAGCCTAAATTGAATACTTGATATCTATGTCGCCACAGGAAAGAGACGGCTACCGAGTGTAAATATTCGCAACATTTTACGCATAACACCAAACACGTAGGTGATACATAATATGGATAAGCATGCACAGATAAGTACCAAATAGATGAATCAGCGATAGTTTCCTCGATTCACGTCACAACCATGGGAAAAATAATAAATTCATAGCTATCTACTTCATTTTGATACTGCATTACTAAACAAAAATATCCATAATAATCTTTCGTCGTTTGATAAAACATATTGATATTAAAATGATAAGTCAATAATGTCCATAGGTATGTGTCGACTTCATATGACCAAAGGCGGACATAAAAACGATCACCTACTAAGCAACGAACAAGTCCTGAACCCAAACCTGTTGGTCAAAATTCAGCTCCGGACTGTGTCTTTTTAGTAAGAATCATCAAAACAATAAACTAACATTTGGAACTGGTAATCACATATCAAACCCTTTGAGCTAAACAACAAATTAGAGATACCTATATTCACATAACATAACATCACGCCTTTTATTCCCGCCTTTTATTAGGCAGAAGTGCAAATTAAAATTATGCCACTGTACAATGTAACACCCATTTTTCACTATTTATGTTATGAGTCCCATGTAATAGGGGGTGAGCCTATTGACATATACCGGACACAATTCCAGACTCCGTGCTACTACTGAGAATTTTTTTAAACCCTTTTACTTTGCCCGATCTGGGAATCGAACCCGAGACCCCTTGCTTGGCAGTCGCACTTGCGACCACTCGGCCAACGAGGCAGACATATATTCAGTAGATAGTAAAAAGTACTTACACAATCTCCAAGCTTAAAATGCGCCTTAAACGCCATATTAGCTTCGTCAGAGAGGTCCTTCATAGCTTCCTCCATCTGGTCCTTGTCCAAAGTGACCTCGCCGGTCTCCAGACCGTTCTCAATACCGTTCTCAAGGCACTTCATGTCCAGACTGGATCCAGGAGAAGTTCCCAAGATAATAAACGAGTCGTCGTCCCCGTTTTGTACTAATGTAGTCATCGTCTTACATCAATCTGGAAAGAGGAGAAAGAAGAGAAATTATCTTATATTATTATATAAAGCGGAAGAGTTTGTTTTTTGTTTGTTTGTTTGAACGCGCTAATCTCCGTAACTACAAGTCTGATTTGAATAAGTCTTTTTGTGTTGGATAGCGCATTTATCGAGGATGGCTATAGGCTATAAAACATCACGCTACGACCAATAGGAGCAGAGCAGAGCGTGTGAAACCGCGCGGAAGTAGCTAGTTAAAGATATAATAGATTGGATCACATTCTTATGATAACGTCTTTAGATTGTTTTGATCTACACCCAGATGGTCTCAACTTAATATATATTTTGCCCAGATGATGCACAGCATATGTACATGAATAAATCCTCTGAATAGCCTTTGACCCCTCACTAACGCGATCCGATGAGACGGCAATTCGCCACAACCGGATCAATATCAAGTGAGTATAGGATCAATGGCTTTACTTGCTTTTTGTAATCTTGGTATTGGAGTAAAACCCACAGTATTTCCAGATTTTGGCTTGCTTATTGATTTTTTGTTCACAAAAACCCATTCGCAATTATCTGACCTTTACGAAACCAACGAATGAAGTTTATCTAACGGTTAGGCACAGAGTGAAAACTCAATATGGGAGAAATATCTACTTCACATCTTCGGTTTTCAGTTGCAAATAACATAACATAACATCACGCCTTTCATCCCCGAAGGGATAGGCAGAGGTGCACATTATGCCACTGTACAATGTAACACCCACTTTTCACTATTTATGTTATGAGTCCCATGAGTCCCTATTGCCATATACCGGACACAATTCCTGACTCCGTGCTACTACTGAGATTTTTTTTAAAAAAACCAAGTAATACTTTGCGCGACCTGGAAATAGAGCCCGAGACCCCTTACTCGGCCAACGAGGCAGTCGTTTTTAAAACTATGAGTCAACCTAACGAAATAGGTGACTGTACCACTTCAAATAGTAGGGCAACGAACTGATATAATAGATTGTTATTTTAACAAGTATGACATTTCGCACTTATACTTCAAAAGACAATAATAGTTTGTATAATCTTTCTGAGAAAAGGGGGGCGCCCACGGCTTAGTGGACACAGTCGACATGAGCATAGTTATTCAATTCATTGTTTACAAAACAATTACGAACACGTTATTTCTCGTGGGAGAGCCATGCTTCGGCACTACTGACCGGGTTGATATGAGTGATGTCACGGCTTCACAGATTTTCGACGTGAAACTTCTCTTGCGTCGTATTTTCGTCTTGTAAATGAGGTTTTTGAAGGCCTAATCCTCGTTCCGAAGAATCCCCAAGTCCCTAATCCCCAGAAGGCCGGCAACATAATAGTAACTCCCCTTTCTCCAAAAAAACTGCGGATACTATTGGGCGGCGTCGATTGCGTACCATCAGGTGATCCGTCCAATCATTTGCCGCCCAATACCAATAAAGAGAACAGTAACGGTGATCCATGCTTATAATATTATTTATGTGTAGATAGATAGTAATAGATACTGATTGTACTATTTCATTTTTTCTAAGAGAATAGGGTAGATGATTAATATTAATGTCCTTCGGGTAAATTATTTTAAAACATTACACACTTATTTTCAGTTTTTTTACAGAAACGATACTTTTGACGATATATTGATTTAAATTATCGCGTCACGTCACTTCTGTCTACATTTTATACGTAGAAATTACGTTTTAGCCCCCACTCCTAAACTTTGATTCGTTATAATCTAAGTATCATTTTATTATACAACAAAATAAAAAAATACGTGTCTAATATTTTTTCATTACCTAACTGACGGACTTATTAGATTTTGAATTTTTTTACCCTGTCAACTACCCAATTATGAAAGAATGAGTAGGTTCTCAACGTTTATCATTAATTTTTCATGAATTAATTATTATAAAATATGCATGTACAGAAGGAAATCAATACAATTACACTGTTTGCCGTATTGTTTAAATTAATGTTTACATAATAATGAAATGTCGGTCAAAGTAAATTGTTATTGTTTTCATTCCAAGCTCGGCAAAAAAACATTACGTTAAACAATATCTATTATGTAGATATCGTTAGAAATCCATTGACCTACCAGCATATAAAATAACTGTTGTGTATTTTATATAAAACCTTATCACGAATATTTAAATGGGCCCGTTTATGAAGTATTTATCTAGCATTGTTCACTACTTTGTGACTATTAATTACATGGATGAAAATCAATTTTGCCCATTCCCATATAATTTTGCCAACTTAGTTCATCAGTGCTGGGTGATTCGTATGCGTGGCTTGCACTGAGTGGGTAATCCATTTAGCATAGGCTTGTTATGAGCGTCTCTTTTCTGATTCTTCTGTTTAAATTTTTTAACTTACTGTTTTTCTTACTTCCACTGTCACACCTTTATTATCTTTTTATATTTTACGCTGCATCGTGCCTAGTGCTGAATAAATGTTTTTTTTTCTTTTTTTCTAGTTCTCCCCTACTAAGTAACTGCTTGTAATTGTGGTCTGTCACTCACATAGTTACCAGTAATAAACCAGTTTTATAGTTCCATATTAAAGTTATCTGAATTACTTAAATGGTCGTCTTTATGAAGTCATTTAACATTGTTTTTTTATTGACAGTGGGTGGATGAATGGCAGTAGCAAATCTTTAAGACTCTAGTCTAATGAATAGGAATTTTTATTCTGTTGTTACTTGCACTTCACACTCTGTCTCTCGGTTAAATTCCTGCCTAACTCAACCCAAAGTTTTCAAAGTACATTACCCTAATTACCTAATTATTAGGTCCCAAAAAATTTCTTAAATAGGGACTTTAAAAATCATTCAGAATGGAAAACATTATTACCTTCCATGGAAAAAATTAAAATAATATTCTAGATATTTTAATTTCAATGTTTGATGGTTTTCACAGAGTTCAATGAACTTATTAGCGCGTAAACAGGCATTTTCTTAATCTTGTGGCAAGGTTGAGCAGGCAAAAACTATGTCGTCTCATTGTCTGTTGGTGACAAAAAATACTTATTTCACGCTTGAATAACATAGGCATTTAGTCCTACGTCATAGTTGGTAGTTATCAAAGTAGGTACCTGTAACAACCCTATTTCAGCCACATTCTAATTCAGGTTTGTTTGAACACATATATGTTCATTGCCGTCCAACGTGGCAATGCTACCAGTTTGGGCACCCTTCCTCACAACTGCGATGATGATATTTTTTTCGACGCCGTAAATTAGGTTTTTTTGTTTTCTTACCTTTTCTTTTTATTGTGTACCTATTTTCTTATATACCTACATATAATATTAATTTATTTTTAAGTTGTAAATATTTAATATTGTTAAAATTAAAAAAAAAATGTAATTTGAATTTCGCGCCTTATGACGCCAACTCACGCTTGGCTACTTGTAATATTTTTCTATCTCCCGCCTTTTTCTTTTCTAATGTCAATGTCTGTCAAAACATCGTAACGAGTACCGGTATAATAAAGATTTATTGTAATTAAACCAGTGAATACGCCTTTAATTTAACAGGTTATGGGCCCAGTAAAGCCCGGAAATAAAATCAGTGCAAAAACTCAGTGAAAAAGTGTTAATAAGACATTTTAAAAGTTTACACAAACATCAACCACGCAAAACTTTTTCTTGAACTTTTACTAAGTGCTTTCGTATTTGGACTAAGTGAAAAACGTTAAAATGGCATCCAGTAATCAAATGGCATTAATAGAAAAGTTAACCGGCCGCGAAAATTACGCAACTTGGCGATTTGCAATGAAAAATTATTTGCAACACGAGGAGTTGTGGGACTGCATTGAAAACGTTGAAGGCTCAGTAATAGATAAGAAACGAGACACAAAGGCCAAAACAAAGTTAATTTTGCTGGTTGACCAATTAACTACGTACATATACAGGAGGCAATCACTGCAAAGGAAGTGTGGGACAAGTTGTCAGCTGCCTTCGACGACTCCGGGCTGACACGCCGAGTTGGTTTATTACGTGATCTGTGCAATACTTCGTTAACAGGATGTGAAAACATTGAAGAATATGTGGGCAAGATTATGAACACTGCCCATAAGCTCCGCAACATAGGGTTCAAGGTAGACGATGAATGGTTAGGAACACTACTACTCTCCGGTCTGCCTGAGTCTTATCAGCCAATGATAATAGCTATTGAAAGCTCGGGAATGAAGATAACTTCAGACTCTGTCAAAGCAAAATTGTTACAAGATGTTAGACAAACTGTGAGTAATTCTACAGCATTTGCAGCTAACAAGAAATTTCATAAAACTAATAAAAAACAATCTAAAGGACCCAGGTGCTTCAGTTGTAATAAGTATGGTCATAAAAGTTCAGAATGCAAATCCAAAACCAAAGACACGCATCAAAAGTCATCAAGTTCATCTTATGCTGCAGTGTTTGTTGCTACATCAACACAACATGATGCCTGGTATGTGGATTCTGGTGCATCCTCTCACATGACTAGACACAAAAGTTTACTTCATAATGTGACAACACCTGCCATACAAAACATAAGGGTCGCAGACAACAAAGTTTTATCAGTACAATGCTCTGGACAGTTAAGTTTAGATATCTATGATGAGAAAGGTGAAGAAAATAAAGTGCTGTTTACAAATGTTTTATGTGTTCCTGAACTTGCAACAAATTTATTGTCTGTGAGTCAGATTATTAGAAATGGTGGACAAGTAAAATTTGACAAATCTGGCTGTGTCATAATGAACAGTAAAGGTCAAATAGTAGCAACGGCAAGTGTCATAAACAACATGTACCGGCTTAATATGCCTGGAAGTGGCTACGCATGCATGTCTGATGTTGAAGAACAAGATACTTACCTCTGGCACCAACGAATGGGACACCTTAACTTTCACAGTTTGAAGAAAATGACAGAAAATACTGAACATGTAATTTTCTCAGCTAAAACAGAAAATCTGACATGTATAACCTGTGCAGAAGGTAAA